CTAAAAACAGGACAATTACTAAGACAAAAGGTCTTTCTCCCTTCCTTCCCCATTTTCCATCCTACAGATAGAATTTAAATCCTCCTTTACTGGAGAACACTTCTTAGCACTTCTGACACACAAACAGGGCAAAAGGAATATGGGAACAGACTTCACTCCTTCCCACAGTTTTCCCATCATTGGAAGCCTGAAACTGCTTGCCCCTTTGCCTTGTTGTTAGAAGATGTCACTGTTCTTTGCTGAAATATTAGGGCAGAGTTCCTAGCTACTGCTTTGAGCATCACTTTCCAGAGAGAGTTGCTTTCTTCCTGGGTCATAGACACTACATGTTTATAAACTTGCTTGTTTTTCTCTTGTTAATCTGTCGTCTTATTGGATTCTCCCAGCACAACCTCAAGAGGGTTGAAGGGAAAAAACGATTCTTTTTCTCCCATTCAAAAATAAGATGAGGAAATTAATAGATGCTGAAAATTACTTAATAAAACTCAATACCTATTCATGATTTGAAAACTCTTGGTTAGTAAGAAGGAATAGAAGAGAATTTCATTAACTTGACACAGAATAGTTAACAAAAAGTTTTACTATACATCTTATTATAAAAACATTAGAATAAACTTCATTAGAGTTAAAAATAGAGATTTTATTCCTGGGACTAAGATGGAGAAAGTGTTTAGAGATACAGCACTGATACAGCACTCCTAAAAATACCAGAGAGTTGTTTTAAATATTGTTTTTACTTCATGACTGAGCTGATAGGAAAGTAAAGGAGGTCTAGAAAGGCCAAAATGTATAAGATATGCTAAGCCAGGGAAGTTAGAAGGGGAGCCAGGGATCCTCCTGGGCTATCTAGACTCCTAGAGGCCTGCAGCCTGGGTGTTAACGGGAGAACAGAAGACACAGCCTGGGGCCTAATGTTGCAGAGGAGGAGGTCAGATCAAGAGCTCAGCATAAGATCAGGTCACCCTATAGGCTGTATCCTCAATAGGACTCTCACAGAAAGAGACACAGCAATCCATGTGCTTCTCAGACTTGGTTCTGGATAAAATAGGGGTGAGGGGAATTTCTAACAACAAGCCTATTATTAGGTAGGTTTCAGTTAGAGTTTATACTACTTGTGTGGTCAGTAAACCCAAAGTTATGATCGTTGCAGTTGGTAATGTCCCCAGGCTCCTAGCAAAAGCAAATATAAATCTTCTGGAGGGAAGCAGTTTCAACTCCAACATTAAAGAACCGCACAAAGTTTCCAGGAAACATGGGTTCACAGTATGAGATAAAAATGGATTAAAATTGGGTCCATGACAATAATGCCCAACATCTAAGTTTTATGAACCATACTCTCTAGAGTCATACACTGTACAACCCGCAAACTTATGCATCAGCCCTAAGATGATCCTCGGGAGTTAATGCTCAACATTGTACTCAAGGGACAAAAAAGTCAATAAGGAAAAAAAAAAGAATTTAAGCTAAGAAAGGAAGGAACAAAACTCTCACTGTGCATAGATAATACAGTTGTCTATCCAGAAATTCCAAAGGGATCCCTTCTTCTGCGGGTGGGAGTATGATCTGGGATAAGCACCAACTATTAAAGTCAATTCAGAAAGATAACCAGATAAAATATCAAAAACCCAAAGAGATTTCCTACATATTAGGAAAAAATGTCAATTAGAAAAGATAGAAGCTATAGTGGAAACTGGTTCAGGATGAGGCAATTAATATAAGAGTATGGAGTATCCAGAAATAAATGTGTGAGAATTTACTACATGAGACAGGTGACATTTCAAGTAAATGTGGAAAAGATGAACTTTTCAATAACTGCTATTGGAATAATTTATTGAAATAAGTTCTAGGTGGGTCAAAAAACAATTTTTTTAAATGATTAAATTGTTTTAAAAAATAATTTAAAAAGTAATTTTAAAAAAGCATGCCAAAATACCTTCATAATCTTGGAAGCTGAGAAAGCTTTCTTAAATGAGACTCAGAAATAAAATACAAAAGGAGAAAACTGATAGATTCAACAACATCAAAATAACAACAACTACAACAATGGTAGAAACTTCTGCAAAAATATGACACAAACAAAAGTTTAAAAACAAGTAACAATGTTAAATGTGTATTTATGTTTCAGAGGATTAGCATCAAGAATAAATATCAACTGGATGCAGTGGCGCATGCAGGTAATCCCAGCGGCTCAGAAGGCTGAGGCAGGAGAATCACAAATTCAAAACCATCCTCAGCAAAAGTGGGCGCTAAGCAACTAAGTGAGACCCTGTCTCTAAATAAAATACAAAATAGAGCTGGGAGTGTGGCTCAGTGGTTGAGTGCCCCTGAGTTCAGTCCCTGGTACCCTGCCCCTGCCAAAAAAAAAATAATAATAAATATTAAAACTCCTACAAATGTGTGGAAAAACCCAACATAAGAATGGCTAAGGATATGAACAGACAATTCAAGAAAAGAAAATACAAAGGTTAAGAGTTAAATGAAAAGAATGCCCAACCTCCATAATAATCAGGGAAATTAAAATATTAAAATAATGGGTTGTCATTCTCACTCATCCAAATGGAAAATAATAATGAACTGTTGAATAATCAGCAAGCATTGTTTAGGGTGTAGAGGAGCAGAAACCACCTTCCTCTGCCAGTGGAGTACGATCTGGGATAAGCACTGCGGAGAGATGCTTGACAGAATCAAAAACTGAACCACACATGCGGTAGTGCAGCGGTTCAACTTCTCAGTACCTTCTAGAGAAACGCTTTCATAGTTGAACAAGCAGACATAAACTGAGATTCATTGGTAAATCTGGAAAATTGGAAAAAGCCTAACCATCTATCAAAAAAAGGAAATGGTTATATAAACAGACATAAAATGAGGAAGAGTTCTGCATGGATATGTAAGTCTCCAAGTCATGTTGAGAGGAAATGCGGAATGACAATGATGTGATGCCAAATATATTTATTAGTGGATACAAATGCAAAGAAAAGGTCTTGCATTAAACACATCACACTTGCTGTTTTGTCGGGGGCAGGGACTTAGGAGTGGCAGGATGGCCAAAGGAGAATTTTTAGTTTTATACTGCATTTTCATTTTACAAATAGCATGTAATCATGTATTGTGTTATAATTTAAAAAGTGATTATTGGGTCTGGGGTTGTGGCTCAGGGGTACAGCGCTTGCCTAGCATGCATGAGGCACCAGGTTTGGTCACTGGCACCACATTAAAAAAAAAAAAGAAGAAGAAGAACAAATAAAATAAAGGTATTGTGTCCATCTATAACTAAAAAGAAAAAAGTGATTATCTACAAAAAATAGTTTAGTCATTTTTGTAGTTGTCTATTATGAATATTCCATAATAACCTAGGATCAAGTCGATTGCATTTAGAGTAGGAGTTGGCGTTTTCTGTGATGAGTTAGGCAGTATATTGCACTTAAGGAGCCATAGAGTTTCCTTTGCTATTATTCATTTCCGCTGTTGTAGGGCAAAAGCAGCCACACACAGTGCATAAAGAATAAACCTGGCTGTGTTCCAATAAAAGTTTGGTTTTGTTTGTTTGTTTGTTTGTTTGTTTTCATACCCAGGATTGAACCCAGGTGCACTTTACCACTGGGCTACATCACCAGCCCTTTTTATTTTTTTTTTTTAATTTGAGTCTCACTCCATCAGCCTATTTGGAGATGGTTTCACTAAGGCTGGCTTCAAACTAGCGGATCCTGTTGCCTCAGCCTTCCAAGTCGCTGGGGTTACAGGCATAACCTGCACCACCAGGCCCAGCCAATAAAAGTTTATTTATAAAAAAGTTGGGGAGGGTCAGATTTGGCCTGTGAGCCATAGTTTGCCCACTCCTGGCTTAGACTAAGTGTATTATATAACTAAAACATTTCGAAGTATCTTCTTGTACAGAAAAATCGCCTTCCCTATTAACCAATTGATTAAATAAGCCATAGCCTCTAAGGCCTTGCTTAGAATACTTTAGACTCTGGTCATATTGTGGGAGAGCAAACACTCCTCTCTGTGGAGATAATCTAGTCACATTTTCATCTCAGTGGTGAACACTGACCTTCCCAGCAACAGTCACACAGCCATCCATGGAGAAGGGAGGTGTCACAGCTGACTCATCAAATTAGGTTCAGTGGCCTCCTGACTAGTCCCAGATGCAGAATGACTTTAATGCAATGCCCCTGGGTATGGCTGTACTGTGCTGTGGGGAAGGAGGAGGGCCTGGTGGCACTGAACACCTGAATTAAAGAGTGGGTCCTCTGGGAAAAGGTCCTCCTATATAAGCTCAGGTAGAAACTCAGTGGTCCAAAGTCGACTCAGCCACAGGGCTGTGCATGGCTCTGAGGGACCCCTGAATGAGGTGAGGTCTTGTGACTGTCATGTTACTGGGCTTGGCCCTGGGGGTGCTGCCGACACTAACTCAGCAAGGCAAGAGGAACTAGGGCAAAGTTGTTCCTGGCCCCCTACATTTTGGAACTAGTGTTTTCTGGATCAGAGGACTCCAGCCCTGTCAAAAAGAGGGGGTTTGCTGTTTATTTGCCTCATGATAATTCAAGCAAAGTTGAGGTTTCCACTGTGATTATTTCTTTAGAAGGTAAGCATGTGCCCAGGGGACAGGGGCAACAGGGTTCAACATTGAGTGATTTTCTTTTCTTTTTTTTTTTTTAAAGAGAGAGTGTGTGAGAGAGAGAGAGAGAGATAATTTTTCAATATTTATTTTCTAGTTTTCGACGGACACAACATCTTTGTTTGTATGTGGTGCTGAGGATCGAACCTGGGTCGCACGCATGCCAGGCGAGCGCGCTACCGCTTGAGCCACATCCCCAGCCCCATTGAGTGATTTTCTACATGTATTTTTTTTTCCAACCTGGAAATAATGAGATCAGCAAGACCAACATGATTCACAGCTACAATGTTGACCTCAAATGCAAGATCCATTTGTGTTCCCACACACCTTTGGCATGGAGCAGTTGGTCCCCTGTAAAAGAGAAAGAAAAGAAAAAACATACCTGCTAGGCTGCAACCTGTTTGCTCTGACTTCTCCCTTGGGGTCCACTTTGAACAGTCAGGAGAGCGAAGGATCTAGCAAAAGCTCAACACACCTGAAGCAGCTGCCTTGTTACAGACAGGAGGATTGCATTCCTCTCTTGCATTTCGCAGGAGGGAATGCTGGGCTCTGGGCTCACAGGGAGAGGTTGAGGCTCCTGCTAAAAAAAGGGCAGTGCTTCTCCTTCCCGTGCTGATCTTAGGCTAAAAGGTTCCCGGAAATGAGCTAAACTGTCTCTCGCCTGCCTTTCAGCCCAGGTCCAATGTAGGTTCCAAGTGGCCCCCATTTGGCACTCCTAAGTCCCAAGTCCAGCACTTGAACTAGCAAACCAAGAGATTACCGTATTTACTGTCATTATGTCCCCCTCCTTTTTCTTCTCCTGTGTCTTCACTGAAAAACACAGAAGGGAGGAACATTGCAAGTGTCTGCCTTGTCTATTTGTGAGTACATTTGATGTGTCTGAGGGTCTCTGTACTGTAACCACTGGAGGAAAGTTCATTTGAATCTAGATCTCTTAACGCTTCTTCTTTTGTCTGAGCCACTTTCCTGAACAGTGTGATTTTGTGTGAAAGTGAATAAAGTACTGAATTATGACTGTGCCAATCACTAGAACTAAGGCAGGCAGATACATGGGGAGCAAGGGGATGGATGTGAGACAAAGGGGCTGGGTACAGTTCACAAGGCAATCCTGTGCTCCAGGACAGAAGCCTGCCCTGGAGCAGGGAGAATGGATAAGAGGGAAAGTTCTGAGGTCCTTTCCCTCCTCCCAACCTGCTAGGGCTGGGAAGTATTGGATTATAAATTCCACAGCATGGAAGGTAGCCTTGGACCTTGGACAGTGAGGACCCGGAAAAAGTGAAATATTTATTCTGCGGAATAAGGTCCCAGAGGAAGCAGCCTACCTAGTGTGCTCTGGGGTGGGAGAACAATAGCATGGGGCTGTCCTGGGTCTGGAGGCACCCAAGAAACTACAAATCAGATAGTCATAGCCACAGTGGGTGGGAAGGCTGGAAAGGGTTAAGAACTCACCCCGGGACTTTTATTCCCAGGCTCAAAAGAAAGACTTTCTGCACTGACAGGCATTTCTGCAGCCAGGGCACAACCCTAGCTCAGGTAGGGCAGCTTGCCAGGAGTCCTTGGATCATGGGTAAAACACATAACTTTCATCACCTCTCCAATCTCTCCTGGCTCACAAGGGCCTGGTCTTATCTCACTTATAAAAATGGTGAAGTAGTGACAGCAGAAATAGAGAACTAAGAATGGGTTATGAACCCTCCGAGGCAAAGGAGCTATCCTCAGGTCTCTGAAGGGGTCTTTTCCTCTGGATCTGCTGTGAGGTCTTAGACCAGAGACAAGAGTCTGCTGCAGGACTTCTGGGTCTCTTTAGTGTGGGACTTCAGTGTTCATATTAGGCATGGTTCTGTTCTGAAACCAGAAAATACACTCTACTTATTAAGAGTGGCTTGCTGATACCCCCAGATGAGGACCTGAGTCCATCTCCAGGGCAGCTAGAAAGTAGGAGGAAATGGAGTCCCTGGGCCTCCATTCTACAACTGTCTCCTACAGCAACCAGAAAGCAGATTTGATAAGCCTACAGAGTTTCCTTAATGTGAAATGTTGTACCCTTCTCTGGGGAATATTCTTATTAAAAAGTATCAATAAATAGGGGATAAAAATACATAAATAAAATATGAAAATCAAGAGAACCAGCTCAGGGGTTGGGGTTGTGGCTCAGTGACAGAGTGCTTGCCTCGCACATGTGAGGCACTGGGTTCGATCCTCAGCACCTCATAAAAAGGAATAAACGAAATAAAGATATTGCATCCATCTATAACTAAAAAATATTTTTAAAAAAGAGAACCAGCTAACATAGTGATGCATTTATAGTGTAAATCCAGCTGGAGCCAGAGGAAAATAGGTATTATCAACTGCTCAGGTGGTCTTTCCAAAGTCTCTTAGCGTCCTTCTGGAGTGTGATCAGGAAACAAGAGCAAGAGCATAGAGGTCCCCAAGAGGCAGTTTGGAGGAATCCTCTCCGTTTTTGTTCTTGGGTGGAAGCAGTAGCAAGGTACCCAAGAAACTTCTCTTTGAAAGTGGTACCATTTTACTACAATAGAAGCAGTGAGTGACAAATTTTTCTTTCCCAGAAATGGCAGGTTCCAGCAACAGGGGTAAAGAGGGATCACTAAAATTGAGCTCCCACTTTTCCAGACCCTATAAGACTCCGTGGTTCCATAAATTCCCTTGTTGCAGTTGAAATCCCAGTCTCTTCCATTTCAGAATCTTGGAATGGGATACTTTGTTTTCACCTCATATATGAATGCAGGATGTAATATCTGTGATTTATTCTCATTCTTAGCTATAAACTCTGCTATAGTTTAGATCTGGAATGTTCCCCCAAAGCCCCATGTGTTAAATTCATGGTCCCTAGGATGGCACTATTAGGAGGTGGTGGACACTTTAAGAGGTGGGGCCTAGTGGGAGGTTTTTAGGTCACTGGGGGCATGCCCCCAGTAGCAGGACCCTGGGTCCTTTCTATTTCTTTTTTGCTCCACGCCATACACTCCCATCATGATGAGCAGCCTCATGGCAGGCCCAAAGCAAACAGGACAACTGATCATAGATTGGAACCTCCAAAACTATGAGCTAAAGTAAACCCTTCTTTTTATAAGTCATTTATCTCAGATATTTGTTATAGTAATGAAAAACTGATGAATGCAATCTCCTTGAGAGCAGAAATTTTTACCTGTCTCTTCGTTTACCTTGTATGAATTGCACTGATATCTGCTCAGTCAGTTTAGCAATTCTTTTAAATGTGGGTTTTGTTTGCACTGCTTTAATAAAATTCTGCTTTTATTGAGAAGAAGAAAAAGTCAACTCACAAGTCTCTTGAGAGAATCTTCCTGAAGCTCATGCCACCATTAAATGAAGTGCATATTTAACTTTAATTTATTATTAAATGAGTTGCCTCTCAAATGTGTGAAACCTCCTAAATTTTAACTTAAAATATTTAAATATAACAATAGCAAGTGTCACAATGTAGACAAATTACGCCTTGATAGCAAAAAGATAATTGGGTATTAAATGTATATGGGATTATCCAAAAACTAAGAAGTGATTTGGAATTTTATGTTTGTTTGCTTGTTTTTAACAAATCACTATAATGTATGAGAAGAATAAAGGAACCAAGTCAGAAATCTGGAATCTGCTAACACAGATTCCTCTTTCTAGCAGTATTAATATGCTAATTATTTTCGCTTAATAGTTGTAAGTATTGGGTTTCTTTATTCCATAATATTATAATAGAAACTCTTGAATAAAATGTAAATTCAGGGATCATACAGGGAACACCTATAACCTAAGAGCTCATAATTATTACTAGTCCCTAGAAAGGTAACTAAACACTGGTCACATTTGCAAATATTGGAGTTATTAACCTATCAATTAGACCTATTTTGTCTGTGTAAAATGAGACATAACACTAACTCCCAGAGAAGGAATTCGGTAAATTAAATTAAATATTTAAGCATCTTAAAATTGCTAGTCACATTTTGTTTATATATTTTTTGAAGTACAATTTATCACTCTTCAAATAAATTTTATGGTAAAATGTGTATAACACAAAATTAGCCATTTAAAGAATAGAATTCAGAGACATTAATTACATTTACAATGTTATGCAACCACTACCACTAACCGTGTCCAGAACCCTTTCATCAGCACAAACAGAAATTCTGCTCACTAAGCAACTCCCCATTTTTCCTTTTTCCCAGTCTCCAATAAACTCTAATTTATTTTCTATCTGTCTGAATTTGTTTATTCTAGCTATTTCATATGAGTAGAATCATACAATATTTATGATTTGTGTCTGGCTTATTTCAGTTAGCATAATGTGTAGATTCATGTTTTTAATCAAACTGGGAAATTTTTCAGTCATCCAAAAATTCTTCATTTCTTTCTCTCTCTATTCTCCTTCCGAGATTACCATAATACATATATTGATCTATTTGATGGTGTTCTGTAGGTAGCTTAGTCTTTGCTTACTTTTCTTCATTCTTTTTCCATTTTGCTCCACAGAATGGATAATTTCAACTGTCCTATCTTAAAATATGTTAATTCTTTTTTCTGCATGTTTAAATATACTCTGAATCCCTTTGTGAATCTTTCATTTCAGTTATCATACTTTAAAGCTCCATAATTTCTACTTGGTTTCTTTTTATTATTCCTCTCTCTTTATTGTTATTCTCATTTTGTTTAGGCATGGTTTTTCCTGGCTTCCTTTAGTTCATGTTCATGGTTTCCTTTAGGTTTTTATTGTATAGAAGACCAGTGTTTTAACACGTTTGTCTATTAAGTCCAATGTCTGGACTCTTGGACAGTTTGGTCAATTTGTTTGCCTTTCCTTTGAATGGATCCTAGTTGTTTCTTGTATGTTTTGTGAGCTTTTTGAAAATTGTGACACAGTCTGAATTCAGGGGAATTTGTTGTTCCCCCAATTCAGTTGTTGAATTCAGTTGTTCTCCCAATTGGGAACAACTCCCCCTTGCTGAGAATGAAGCCTCAAAGGCAGCCCCCATAGCCCCATGGATGCCAAGAAGCTGAGAGAGAAGAGAACCCCTCCTCAGGCCTGTGCAGCACAGACTAACTTCTGCATATGGACATTTCCTGCCCTTTATCTTGAAGTGGCACCCCCTTTCTCCACAGAAAAGCCCTCTTCACCATGGCTGATTTTAGGACTGTCAGCAAAAGAGTCTCTGCAAAAGAGTTCAATATAGATAAACTTCCTATTTTCGTGTAGCCCTGTTTTACTTGGCCACTGGCTGGGAAGATACCAGCACTCCAGGTGCTGGACACCCCCTTACTAGTTTTTCACAAACATATCCAGTATAGTACTTTGTAGAACTGTGCAAACAAGGCCTCTGGCCTTGAGCTGGGGCTTCACAGAGATGTCTACATTTTTAAGATAAGTTACGATTGGGCTCCATGGTAACAGCTGGCAGGGGGAGGAAAGAAAGGGGAGAAGAAGCTCTCCCCTTCTCAGGTGTTGTCCTTAAAGAGTTAACTTGCCCAAAACAGCGAAAGAAAAAAACTGCTTTTATGTGAACTTCAGCAGACTATGAACTTCTGAGCCCCTCCCCTTACATGCTGGGTATAAAACTCTGAAACTCCCTGAACTCAGGGTTCAGGGGATTAATTGATTACAGCAAAAGCTGTGCCCTCTGAACCTGGCTGCAGCCAAATAAAACTGCTATCTTTGGTGCCTTG